TGCATATTTGCTGAATCATTGTATGGTCCCTCACAGCTATCCAGTGAGGTAGCTATCATTATCCCTGTTTTCTGGAAGAGGAAATGGAGGTGCAGAAAGATTAATTAGGCCAGAGGTCACTTGGATAAGAAGTGGCAAGACGAAATTTGAATCCAGGTGACCTGATTCCAGAATGAAGAATCTTCATCATGGTGTTGAGATAAATGCAGAAGAAATGCAAAGGGCAAATTCTAACTACAAAGGATGAACACGGAAAGGAACGACTAACCTGGGAAGTAGACAGTGAGCCAGTGTTGTACATCAACAATCTCTGGGTCTGTATTGTGTCTGCTTTAGGGCTCCAATGGGCAGAGCTGTGTGTCAGATCCCCAAACACCCCAGAGCCGGTTCCCAGAAAGATAATAGGTTAAGAGTTACAGCAAAAGCTGCCTGGACAGCTCCTAGAGGTTGAACCTCTAGAATGCCAGATGGGCTATTTGCTAAAGCAGCTAAACCCAGCTTCAGTTTACAGCAACCACAGGGGGCTCTTCGGTTCCTATCCAGTGCTCTCCTCCAGGCCATAGGCCTAACCGGAGCTCCTGCCAAACCCACTGGCTTCTCATTTAGAGCCTATAGGATGGAGCTGCCCTGCCCTGTAAGGTTTCCCAGGTTGTAACCTTTACAAAAGCAGACTACTAATCTTTCTTCCTCAAAGCAGCTGATAAGGTTCAACCCACTAACCTTTGGGTTAGCAAATGAGTTCTTTAACCCAGCCACCAAGAAATCTTCTGACAAGGGGTTAAAAGCAAAATTCAATGAAACCAGAAGGTGGGGAGGGGGCTGAAAACTTCAAGTAAGATCTCTGGCAGCCTTTTGGATCATCATTTCTGGCGTCACTGTTCACCAACAAGGGCTTCATTCCTATTTTAGCACATCTCCTGCTAACCCCAATTTTAGGCATTAGACAAACAGGAGACCTCATAAGTGTGCTAGTCAGAATCCGTATAGAGAGAGAAATAAGAGGTGCTCGGATTAAGGGCATGCGAACATCCATAAAGGATCCGGTGCCTCCATCGGAATTGTGTTCTCTTCACCTACTTAGCAGGGGCCGCCATGTCTGTTTGGAGAACTTCGATTTGCTTGACTTTGAAACAGGGTCTGAAGAAAACCAGAACTCACCTCCGCCCCTTCTCTCTCTGGCAGATACGGACTCCTCTCCGCTTTCTCTTTTATGGGAGTTCAACTTCAGCGTAGGGCAGGGATAGAAGATGAGGAAGTACCGTACTCTTCTGGATCCTGGGAATCACATCTGCTCAAGGGCCTGAGACATAATTTCTTCCACACTTCAGCCTGGAAGATTAGAGATGACCCCAGGAAGACTCCCCTGAGCCTTTGAGGTACCTCCAGCATGGGGTGATGGCAAATAGCTCATCCACCACCCGCCTGGCAGCAGAGAGCCCGTGTTTCTTTCCGTTTACATGACCATCGTGGGCCAGGAATCACAGCAGCTCCTCTTGCCGACTCCACAAGGTTCGCAGATGTTCGCGAGGGCCATTTTTGCACGGCCTTCCTTAAACTGTAACCCCCCTCAAGCGTAACATGTTAGCAGTTTGTGCACCTCCAGAAAGACCCGGGCGGGAACGTGCGGCAGCCGTCTCCACTGTGGAAGAAGGTGGGGGACCGGGAGAGGCTCTGCGGTTCCCTGCTCCCGTCCCGGCCGTGGTAGGAGAAGGTTTTCGGGAGGGGCTGTAACTGGGGAGAGGGTTAGGCTTGCAGGGTGTGGGGTGGGTGGGCTGTGCGAGCGGCGTCCCAGGATCCCCGAGGGGGATCAAAACCAGGAATGCCGCCGCCAAGCCGGAGAAGGCACCTCCTTCCCCCGTTCGCCCACCAATTCCAGCATCCCACCAGTGCTCCCAGATGGGCCCTCCCGGACGCCGCCACGCCCGCGCCCTGGGGAAGCGGAGAAGGGTGCAGCGCCGAGAGAAGCACCTACACCGGCGCGGCCAGAGGGGAGCCTTCCCGCGGGAACGTCCTCCGGCGCTAGCCCTCCTGCGGACGGCCTGCCCGGCCGCCGAGCTCCGCGGTCC